CATACCAGTTGCTGCAAATATTTAAAGAGGTAAAGAAGCCACTCGCAAACTAAAAGATAAAAGATGAAAAACAGTCTACCCATTTTTAAACTAGAATGAAAACATTACAGTGCTCTACTGAAATACTCAGAGCCAGGAAGTGGCGGTGTAGCTCAAAGTGGTAGAGCACTATCCTTGAGTGCAAAAGCTCAGGGATAGCACGTAAGCCTGAGTTCAAACCCCATGACTGACCAAAAAAAAAAAAAAATTAAGAGAGTGTTAAGGAGGACAACAGTTATATTTTATGTTGGGGTAAGCGGAGGGTTGGGAAGGAAAAACAACAAAAACAAGAGAAGAGGTGAACACTGTAGCTGACTTATGTAACTGTAACCCCTCCGTAAATCACCTTTACAATTAACAATATTAAAAAAATGTTATTCTAACCCAAGTGCTTAGTGTCAAGGACTATATATAATTAGAAGCATATTAACATGAACTCCAACTTATAGAAACAAGAGGTTCTCATTTGACCCTGTATATAGTTCATTTTTCTCTATTGTTTTTTCTTTCTTCATTTCTCTTAGTTTTTTTGTACCTTGTGTTTTGCTTAATAGACAATGCAATATGTGAAGGGAAAGGGAATCACAGAAACAACAGGACAATGGAGGAACCACAGTAACATTGATATTCACTTGATACTCTGCTGGATATGAGCCTTACAACTTGAGGGGGGTAAGGAGGTAAGTGGGAGATAAAGAGGGATGGTAATGATTATTAAAACACATGTACTTATTGCCTTACCTATGTAACTGTATCCACCCAGCTCATCACCTTTCCAATTAAAAAATTGAAATTAAAATTAAAAAATATATATTAAAAAAGAAGAAGAAAAAAGAAATACTCAGAGCCAGACCAAGACACTGTCTTGGATTCCTAAAGTCTTACAATTTTGCAGTGTCAAGGGCAAGTTTGGGAACTCAGTCTACCCATTGTGCTAGTATTCCTCTTATATCCTTCTTAAGAGAGCATTTATCACCAGCCTTCACATTTAATAACAAGCTATATCATCTTGAAGGTCCCTTTGGTATTTATAATCAATTTGTAATTCAGCTTTAGTTATTTCCTGAATGTTTTTTTTTCCTCCCCCCTTTTTTCTTTTACATTATTTTTTGTTTCATTTTATTTTGAGATAGGGTCTTATTTTGCAGCTCAGTCTGGCCTGGAACTTGATAGCCTCAAACTTATCTTCTTCCTGAGCCCATCTCTCAAGCGCTGAGATTATAAGCAAGTGTTTGTCACCATGACCAACTCACCAGCTTGTTAGGAAGAACAAGAACCACCATACTTTCCATTTCTCTTCTATCCCTTCTCCATTATCTAAAGCTAGTGTTAAGACTTCCCAAAATTTACCATCATAAATGTGAACTGAAAACTACCATCTACCACAGAAGGTCCTTAGTTCTCTTTAGCTTCTGTCAGTACCTTCACAGGGTCCCAAATAAATTTGGAGATCAAAGCAATGATCAATGACTCTACCTAACCACAACCCACAGAATCACGCTTGGTCCCTCACTACACTCACAGAAAACCCTTTGGACATCAGGCTGAGTCAAAGTCAGATGTGCAGAAAGGATCCTGTGAATTACATTTCTACCTCCTGGGTGGCAGAGGGACCTAAAGGCCATCCACGAGGCTGCTTGGAATCACTCTTGTCCTTCCTCTTACTCCTTTTTATTCTCAATGGCCATAACTGAGCTGGCTGACCCTTCCAAGACAGTGACTAGATGAAATGTGATCCCACCAATGGGTCACCTCTCTTCCCTTTATGTAAGCATGAACCTGATCTGCCATCCTCTTCTTCTAACCCCCAGAAATACAAAGAACTCTTTCACTTTCCTCTGCCACACACAAAGAAAACTGGGTGGTTGATGGCTCAGGATATTTGAGTAAGACCACTTCCTTCAGGTGAAGATTAGCTCATTTAATTAAATGTAATCATTTGTACATTTTGTTTTTTTTCTAGTAACAAGTAAAACATGTATGTAGATACTGCTCCAAAAATATCAACTGTCAACTAAAACCAAGCCTCCCTTGCTCACTCATATGCAACAATTGTTACCAGATTATTCTGTGCTCAGGAGTCTATAAAACTGTGTGCATGTGCATGCTGGTACTGGGGCTTGAACTCAGGACTTCAAACACAACTTAGGACCTCACACTCTCATTCAACTTTTTCTACTCACAGCTATTCTCTACCATTTGAGCCACACCTCCAGCCCAGCTCTTTTGCTATTTAACTGGAAATGAGAGTGTCTCACACTTTTTTGCCTGGACTGACTTCAAACTGTGATACTCAGATTTCAATCTCCTGAGTAGCTAGGATTACACGTGTGAACTAGTACTCAGATTCGTATAAACTTTTTAATCTTATTTTTTACCATGAGTTTCCCTATGGGAGAAAGGCTACTTACTGAGCACATATACTTCTTAAGCAAAGGCCCTGGATATGTGTCTGCCATCTATTAGTGTATTTAACCATCCTAACAACCTGTGAGGTTAATTACTTTCCAGGAGATGAATCTAAGGTCAAATGAATGAGACATTTGTCCAAGGTCACAAGCCTAAATCCAAGTTCAAGCTGCTTTTCTAGATGCTTCCTAGATCACTTGCCCTGTTTCAGAAACTAGAGTCTCCATTCCAAAATCCTTTTTGCAAAAAGCCTGGGCTCTGGGAACCCATAACCTTGGTCGAAAACATTGGTCCCACAATAGAGCTCTAAGGACATACACACACTGCTGAACCTCCCCAGGCCTAAGTGTCTTCACCTAAAGCTTGTGGCAACGATAAATGCATTTCACAGGAAAAGCACGGCAGAGGACCTGACAGATAGTAGTAACTACTTTAAAATGGTTAGCTATGACGATCATACAGCTGGTTAACAAACCAGAATTGGAAAGAATTTTTTTTCCTTTTCTTCTCATATCCTCCACTTAACTACACAGTGATGTAGCTTGGAGAAACAATTTGGAAAGCCCTGTGAATTTGTCTGGCTCCATTTGACCCATTTCCTCTGCTTTCCTCCTCTCCCCCGGAACTGCTCTTTAAGCATTCCTTCTCTTCACACTCACTGCCAAAATCACAACCTTTACTGTTGCCAAACCCCAGAAGCGTTTACTAGTTATTACTGTGATTTTTTTTTCAAATCATGGAATTATTTCAACTTTTATTTCAAAACTAGTTTCCAGCCATACCCTCCCTATTGTCACCAGTGTAAAAGTTTTAAGCGCCAAAGTTTATGGGTCTATCATTCCCCTCAGACCCAATCTTGCTCATGTACCATGGCACTCTAAGGCAGACAAGACTGTGTTAGAATAATCTTATTGTGTGAAGACTGAGCTACCCAAATTCCCTTAGAATGGTATTAAAAAAAAAAAAAAAACAGCTGTTAACCTGACCGTACAACTTACAAACCCACATTTGTTCAACACTGTAGGCTTACTTACTGGCCCTTTCCTCTCTAATTAAAAGCCAGATATGTAGGCTTGGTATCACCTGGCCAGCCAGGAGATGAGCAAGTTTAAGATTTTGGAGGGAAGAGGCAATAATAAGAAGTTCGATTACTGGGGTCCTCCTTGTGGCCAGTGGCTAGCTATGAAGCTTTGACTATGTCAATTTACACTCTCTTTGGGTTTTAGTTACTTTACCTAATAAATGAGAAGGTGAGATCAACTTTTTTATAAGAGCCCTTTAAATGAGACTGTATTTTTGCAGTCATCCAAAAAGTATCTCTGTCTGGCCTGGGTCTTATCAAAGCAGTGAGCTACATGTCATAGCTGTAGCCTTGGGAGATAAGCTTCAGCCAAAAGTAGATGTGCATGTGACATGCTAGCCCTAAAAGACATAGGCTCCATTTACCACAAAAACACAAGTGTGCCAAGCTGTCAAAATAGAATTCATGGTAAGGCAATAAAATCCAGGTTCAATTCTAATAACCTAATTCTAAGTAATAACTGAGCAAGCCATTCTGAGGCTGAGACATGTCAGGGCTTCCATCTAAAATACCCTCCCCCTCACATGAATTTCTCTCAGGCAACAACTCTGCTCCAAGCTTCTGGAATGCAGCTAGTATAAGACTGGAATCCCAGGAGCATTTGTGAGGTACCTTTGTCAAAATAGTACTACACGTAGCTCTGCTATGCTGTGCTACACTATGCTTTTTTTTCTCTAATAAGAGAGACTGTGTTTCCTAATACTGACATCACAGTGGTTCCTCCAATCCAAATTCTTTTATGATGAACAACAGCTCACAGTTGAAATCCTAGCTACTCAGAGGGTTGAGATTGGAGCAGAAGCCATCAGATTTCAGATCTACTTAAGTTAACCTGGGTAGCAAAACCTCTAATTAACCAGCAAAAAGCCAGAAGTGGAGCTGTGTCTCGTGTGTACAATGCCAACCTTGTGTTCAAAAGTCAGATGACATAAGGCCCTGAGTTCAAAGCCTCAGTATTAGCAAATTAAAATTTTAAGAAAAGAGGCCAAGAAATTCCCTGACAGTGAAGGTACAGGCAGCAATGGGTCTTACTACAAAGGCCATAAAAGAGACTTCAATAAACTCCTTCAGGACAAAAATCACCTCCCAATAGGTACTTATTTAACCCTCTTCACAAGAACAGCTCTTTTTTTAATGACATTCTAAATCACTACACAACTTTGGAAATGCTAGGGTCTTTACTGATTCCCCTCCCCCCACTCCCCACTTAACATAATTTATTCCTTCCTCTATAAAGTATAGACCTCAAGAATTTTTTAGAAGTCATTTTTGAAAGCTGTACACATAAACATCAAAAAGGGAAAAGCACGCCCTAGCCAACGGAGTGCTTCCAGCTTCTGTCATGTATTAAGGCAGGGCCTTATCAGACAGCAATGGGAACTGTTCTTGCAGCCCTTAGAACTGAACCAGGCAGGACAGGGCAGGGCAGGGCAGGGCAGGGCAGCCAGACCGTGAGTCAAGATACACTTACATCACTCTTCCTGAACTTTGCTTTCAAGCTCTTCATGTTTAATCCATTCAGCCTTCCACAGTCCTGGGAGATTTGTCAACACCTAAGGAGAGAAATGAATGAATGAATGCAGATTCCCAAATAAACATACAGAGGTTCCCTTCGGACTGGATTATAACATCAGCCCTGGGTAGGAGAGAGATCCTGGGTCAGATGGTAGTCTGTTATTGGCTAGATGGGAAGCCTAGGGGATATATGCTTTGTGCACCTGTGATGTGCTCCCTAGAATAACTGACATTTTCTAACTAATCCAAGCTTCATTTTTTGTCCTTATTCATTTTAATTTTGTCATTATTTTAACTGTCATATCACTCGTGTCTACTAACAGCATTTGGAAATATGTATTCATCATGGGCTGGCTTAATGAGCTAATTAAACTATGCATTGCTTTATACATTTACCATTTTATTATGATGAAAATACTTGAGAATCTGGAGATTTTCAAGCACATAAAACATTACTTATGCTAGAGTATGTGTGTATATAATATACACATATATTACATTGATCCTTCCTTGTGTCCATGTTGCTGCCTCAAGAGCTCCCCCGGTAACTCTCCGGCTTCGAATGTGCTCAATCTCATCATTGCTGCTGCCATTAAAGCAGGCGCCTTTGAAACCCAGTCATCATAAAGACCTCCAATGGCATTCATCTGGAGGCCATACGGTGACTGAAGTGACAGAATGCGTGTTTCCTTGGAAACTGTACACACTGTAATTACACAAGGTTAACTGCCAAGAGCTTCATCACAGAGAATATAGGGCTGGTGGTAGCTGCTCACCAAGTACCAACTCCAGGGCCGTGGTTCTCAAAGCTAGCCCCTCCCATCACCCTTACCATTCACCTACAGTTCTAATATAAACTCCTATGTTCTGACGGATGTATCTTCAATCTTCCCCATGTACTTTACCACCCTCCTTGGGAATAATCACTTCACTCTTTGCTTTGGTAAGTAACACATGTAAAGATTCCACATATAAATGCAGCCTAAATACTAAAAAGTTTAATTCAATTTTCACTACAGAAAATGCTGTATCTATTTGGCTATGGTTGGGATGCAGTTTACCCCCAAGGACTCATGGCTGAAAGCTTGGTCTCTCCAGTGGTACTGTGGGAAGTGATACAATCTTCAAAGACAGAGCCTAGTGGGAGGTCTTTAGGTCATTGGGTTGGGGTATGTCCACAGAATGCTGGTCTCCCGGACTGAGTTCTTACGAAAGGACTTGTAAAAATAAAATACGAAATAAATCTTAAATCTCTTACTAAATCTCTTACTTCCCCACAATCTCATCTTTCATTTTTCCCTGACTTCTCCAAGTATTTTCCTCCTTTATGGTATCATCTACCACAAGCTAAACTGATGCCAGTGTGAGGCAGTCCGATAAATCTACATAACTGTGAATACACCTTTTTTTCTTTAGAAAGTTATCTAAAAACCAGTATGTCATTATAGAAACAAACACACCAAAAAACCAGACTCTATGCTAAAGTAGTTCCTCTAACTTCATTTAGCAAATATACTATCTGCCTCCTTCGGAAGATTGCAACAGTGAAAAATAGTAAGAAAAACACTTCACATTCCAGGCCATTCACTTCTTATTTGTTTTTCCAGTAGTTGTTCCTGCCCTCTGGCCCCCTCCTAAATGGCACAGTAAAAACTGCCAGGAACAATAAAACCTCTTCTTTCCACACAAGTCCCATCCCACTTTAAACAATGCAAGGTTCTCCAGGTCCTCCTGGGGGCCCTGGCAATTCAGAATTGGTACTGGAAGAGATTTCAACTGCTTCAAAATTAGAAGTTTGTGGTCTTCTGGATCTTGAATGTAATATTTTAAATACATATACAATATTTTCAAAGGAAGAAGCTTCCTGGTTTTCATTACATTCAGCAAGGTACTTGGGTCCATCTTCAAAGGACCACAGAGCTAGCAAGATCTCCGTTTTCTGGAGGTAGAAATGTCCTAACAAAAGTCTCTTGATGGAATTTGGAGCCAAACCCCTAAGTCTGACAGAAGCTGAATCTTGTTTCCACTGCCTTACAGGGCTGCACAACTAAAACAAAAAACTCACAATCTGTATTAAAAGCATGAAACATGGTGTATTTCTCTTTTCCATCAAAACCCGAACATGCATGAAGTGTGGGATTTTTGTGTACTGGCTAAGAAATACTAAAGTACATTATCATAAAGGGAAGATCACATGTGAGCAAAGTCCTATCATATAGTAGGTGTTAGATAAATGTTAACTTCTCAAGAGCCACCTGACAAGTGAAAAGATGAGCTCTGTGTGTGTGTCTCTGTGTGTGTGTGTGTGTGATTTAACTGAGGGAATTGAGCATGCTAGGCAAGCCCTTTAATACTTGAGTGTACCGTTGTTTGGATTCTGTGTGCTGGTAGTGGAAGATGAACTCAGCGCCTCACACTCTCGCACAGATTTTTCACTCAAGGCTGGCACTTGTATCACGTGAGCTACAGTTCCACTTCCAACATTTTGGCTGGACAGAAAGATAATCTCACAGACTTTTCTGCCTAGTCTGGCTCTGAACTGCAACTCTCAGATCTCAGCTTCTGGAACACCTAGGGTTACAGATGTGAACTTGCAGCATCCATCCTGGTTCTTTTCTGTTTATAGCGCTATCTCCTCTAAACTGCTTTTTTTGGCCTTTCTTTCTTTGTCAAAACTGAGGATTGAACGCAGTGGCTTATGCTCACTAGGGTAGTGCTCTACCACTTGAACCATGCTTCTAAAACAAAAAACTGAACTTTTGTCAACTAGTACTATCCCAGTGGAGTTGGTCCTAAGGAATGGCTGACAAATGTTTCATACAGCTAGCCATTATTGTAAAAGCCTTTCAAGGTCATCTCAGATTCCTCCCCATTCTTACCATTCTGGTCAAAACTTATTTAAGAAGATAGAAGAAAAAAAATGCAAGCAACAGAATGGCTGTTGATCCTTCCCATAGAAACTGAATCTCAAAGGGCAGGGGACCAGGAATTTCCTTGGTTGAATCTCTACACATTGAAGTTTGAGAACCTAGAATGGATGGATAGATGGGGAAACAGACTGGTCAGAGTGGGCCTAGCTTACAAATCAAACTAGAGCTGGCTTTTCATATCAAAACAATTTTTTTCTTTTTGGTCCAAGACTGGGATTTGAACTTTTGATCTAATGTTTTCACTCACTGACTAACACACTACCGATGACCTGAGCATGCCTACAAAACAAAAATAATAATGTCCACTTGATTATCATTCCCACACTGCTATTGGCTCATAATTTCCATACCAACTATTTCTAGAAAATGAAAAATATCCCTCAAATTTAATTCTTTCCATCCTCTAGAAATAGCCAAGAAAAAAGACTAAATCAATGCAGCTGAAAGGGGAGAAAAAGAGAAGCCACAACTGTGCAAACCCACAAAGTGCAGGCCACCAAGAACTACACAGCACATTCATTCTTTCATTCACCCAACACAAGGCCTGAGGCAGCGGTGGTAGGATTTTTCGAGGTCACAGAGACTGGAAGGATGTTATGTTAGCTTTTTGGTATATTTGGCTTTGGCTTTTTTTTTTTCCCATTTTTAAAGCCTGGCAGTGAAAAGTATGCAACTCTCATTTGAAGGGGATTAAAGAAATAAAGTAACGGATTCCAAAGGTTCCCAGGGGAAGGTAATTAAGTACTAAATAAATGTCTTCCTGGAGCCCAAGGCTCTGGGTGTGAGAAGCTGTGTGGTCCATGGTATACATTTCCAGGATTACAAAGATGGGGAAAGAGATGCTGAGAATCTGCATAACAGTTAGAAGCAAGAACCAGAGCTGGGGATAACTAGAGTTATTAAAAGGCCACTTCTGTCCTGGCATTTGGAAAAGGTTCTAACACCTGGAAGCCATGGCTAGTAGGAAAAACCTGGGAGGTTATAGAGACATGGTGTCAGGTCCTAAGAGGGGACCCCTGATTAAAACATCAGACCTCAAATCCACATATCCAAGGAAATGTCGAACAAATGAAGAAACTAAACTATTTCTCATTGTCAATATGTAGTTCAATATTTTCTCAGACAACAAATAATCTGTCTGCAAGCAAAGAAGGATTTTTTAAACCTATTTTAGCAATTCTCTGGATCTGGTAAAACAAAAACTTTATTCTGCAAAAGTCTCTTCAGACCATACTAGCAAAGGTGTCCTGAACAGCATAGCATTTCATACCATCCCAATTCCTCCTCATGGGCAGAAGCTATTTCAAGTCTCTTTTCAAGTCTCAGTGCAATGCATTTTGATCTACAGTTGAATGGCTTATCTGCATGACTGATTTTTTTTTCTGCTGCTACTGGGGTTTGAACTCAGGGCCCCATACTGTTAGGCTACAACTTTCCCACTTGAACCCTGCTCTCAACTTTTTGCTTTTATTATTTTTAAGGTCTGGTGGTTTTTGCCTAGGGCTGGCCTGATCTGCGATCTGCCTATTTATAAGTTCTGTGCAGCTGGTATGGCAGGGACCACCCCACCATTTCCAGCCTAGGACCAAATTTTAAATATTATGGCAAGGAAGCACATTTACTATTGGAGGACTCAGAACTGACCAAGGTAGTGAATAGTAAGAGTAGTAAACAAGCAAAAATTCTTGCAACCAAAAATATAATTTTTTTTTAAATCTCACAACTAGGTATTAAATCCTGCAGAAATTCAGAGTGGAGATCTTTGAGCGTGGGGGAAATGAAGGAAGCCTTTATAAATCGGGGTGGACTTCTAACATGCCTTCAAGGAAGCACAGGATTTGGGTGGGCTGAGGTGAGGGAGGGGACAAGAGGGTATGTGTCCTGCCTGGATCAGACACCAGTGTAACATCTCCAAGCTGTCCTACCAGCCCCCGTCATGAGACTGAGTTCGTGTGTTAGGAATCATCACACACACAGTCCTCTTCAAAGACCAAGCCTCCCCAGAACAAAAGATCCATTCTTTGACCCCTCATGATGAGGGAGGGATTGAAGTTCCATTACTATTTTTCAGTAAATTTGAAATTTTACATCTCAGATAGCCCACTTAC